TGACAAAACAGGAAAATGATAAACATTGGAGAAGATGTGGGAAAATTGGAACACTAATGCACTGTTGGTGGAGTTGCAAACTAATCTAACCATTCTGCAAAGCAATTTGGAACTATGCCCACAGGGCTATAAAAATGGGCATATCCTTTGACTCAGCAATACCACTTCTACGTCTATATCCCAAAGAGATCATGAAAATGGGAAAAGAATCCACATGTACAAAAATATTTATGCAGCTCTTTTTGCGGTGGCAAAGAGTTTGAAATTGAGGGGATGCCCATCAATTGGGGAACAGCTGAACAAGTTGTGGTGCACGAATGTAATGGAATACTATTGTGCTATAAGAAATGATGAGCAGGCTGACTTCAGAAAAACCTGGAAAGACTTATATGGACTGATGTTGAGTGAAGTGGGCAGAACCAGGAGAACATAGTACGCAGTAACAGTCACATTGTGCAGTGACTAACATTGATAGACTTATCTCTTCTCAGCAATGCAAGGATCTAAGGCAACTTCAGAAGACTCATGATGGAAAATGCTATCCACATCCAAAAAAAGAACTATGGAGTCTGAATGCAGATCAAAGCATACTATTTGCTCTCCTTTTCTTTTGTTGTTTTGCATTGTTTCTTCTTCCTCATGGTTCCTCCCATTAGTTTTAATTCTTCTTTACATCATGACTAATGTGAAAATATGTTTAATATGAATGTATAAGTAGAGCATACATCAGATTGCATGCCATCTTAGGGAGGGGGAGGAGAGGGAGAAGGAGAAAATTTAAAATTCAAAATCTTACGGAAGGGAATGTTGAAAACTAAACATAAATTATGTGTGTGTGTATACACACATATATATGTAAATCCAAAAGACACAGGGACTCCCAGAGCCCTAAAGGTCTGGAGATGGCTGAGCTTTAGACCAATTTTATTCTAATTTTGCTATCTTCAGTCACATAATTATGGTAACATAAGTAAGATAAATTATAATAACATAAATATGATAACAGTATGCTAAGTCTGAGTCCATAGATGCCAGGGCTATGACAGTGAGAGAAGGGTCCAGAGAGATAAAATTGGAGCTCATGAGCTGGGTACAGAAGATAGATTTCATTTTTTGGCATTTTGAGACAAATCCCTCGATGTATATCCACATGGTTCAAGAAGTGAAATCCCAAAGGGGCTATGTCCAAAAATGATATTTTTTTCTTATTTTAAGTTCATTACATCTCTGGCAGTGGTATATTTCATCTTTAGGCTTTTAGACTCGTCCACCATTGCATTGATCAGAGCTAGGTTTTTCAAAGTTACTTTTCTCTATAACATTGTTATCATTGCCTAAACTGTTCTTCTTTTCTGCTCACTTCTCTCTTCATCAGTACTTAAATGTCTTCCTAGTTTCTCTGAAATTATCCATTTCATCATATTTTATGACACGATAATGTTGCATTACATTCATATGCCACAATTTGTTTAGCCATTCCTCAATTGGACAGCATCTTTCTGACCAGAAGCTACTATGAAAGAGATACTAACAATATTTTATGTCCATATAGATCCTTTTCCTCTTTCTTTTGATTTCTTTGGGGTCTAGGCCTGATAGAGATATAGCTGGATCAAAGGGTTTGCTAACCCTACTCTGTATCTCAAAATCCCTATATATGTATGTTCTCACAAATCCTCTTAATCAATAAACACTTGTTAGTTGGCACCTACTATGTGCCAGACATTGTGTAAATGCTGGGGATACAAAAAGAAGCAAAAGGACAAACAACAAAACAAGAATCTGGAGGGGTGGGAGAGCATGTGGAGATGGAGGGGAAGAGGAAGTGCAAAGGGCATAAGGAGCAGAAGTTTGAGATAAGAACTTGGATGCAGATGATTCTTCTTTCTGATTCAAACTCACCTCATCACCCTCTTTCCCAATGCCCACAACCCCTTGCTTTTCCTGCTCAACAATGACTTGGGGAATAGGGTGGGGAAGTGGTTTTATCTCCTTCCTATTAAAGTCAGAGCATTGCCCAAAGCCAGCTCAATAGCTGACAGAGAGAGGGGACAACACCAAGAAGAAAACACAGGATAAAAGGTAAAGGAAACAGAAAGGAATTCATATGTATGTGAGTTGTGAATGTACACAAAGGTAGACTTGCTTGGTTGTGTCAGTGAGAAAACCATAGGATTACAGAAAACGACTTGTCAGGGATCATGGGGTCGTAAATTTAGGGCTAGAAGGGACCATCTAGTCCAGCTCCATTATTTTACAGATGAGGAAACAAGCCCAGAGATAATACTTTACTTGCCCCAGGTCACATGAGTAATAAGTGACAAAGACAGGCATTGATCCCAGGTCTTTTGACTCCAAAGACAAAAAAAAAATTTTCTTTGGTAGGAGGAATGGGACAGAGTTTGAAGAGGTTTTAAATGGGGTAAAATAGAAAGAGTCAGGGTTTGAATCCAAGCTCTGCACTTAGTACCTGGGTTATTGTTCAATCATTTTCAGTTGTGTCTGACTCTTTGTAACCCCTTTTGAGGTTTTCTTGGCAAACAGACTAATTTGCCATTTCCTTCTCCAGCTCTTTGACAGATGAGGAAACTGAGGCAAACAGGGTTAAGTGACTTGCCCACAGTCACACAGCTACTAAGTGTCTGAAGTCAGATTTGAACTCAGGAAGATGAGTCTTACCTCATATTTGAGTAGCCTAGACATATAATTTAACTTGACTAGGCCTCAGTTTCCCCAACTATAAAATAAGAGGGTTAGACTAAACATCTAGGGTCTCTTTGACTCTCGATCCATGATTTATGATCTTTAAGTGACTTAGAGGGATGCGTGAAGTTTCTGTGAGTTTGGGAGGTATGGGTGCCTGTTGATGAGTTAGGGGAATAAAGGTAAACAAATGAGTTTGGGAGGTGTTAAGATATGCTATTTAGTGGGTTTAAGTTGCAGTGTGATCCAATGGAAAGAGCACTGGCCCTGGAGTCAGAAGGACTTGAGTTCAAATCTGTATTACCTTAAACAAAGTATCTAATCTTTCTAGGTCTGTTTCCTCATCTGAAAAAAAGGAGTTGAATAAGATGACCTCTAAGGTCCCTTCTGCTTTAAATTTAAGAGCATATTAAAGTGCGGTGGGAGTTGGGGGAGAAAGGTTCTATGAAAGTATGGGAGGGTTAAGGGTGTGTGAAGATGAGAGTCGGATGAGAAGTTGAATGAGTAAGTTCAGGGATGAGGTTGGATATAATTGAATTTGGATAATGAAGGTAGGTGTGAGCTTGTGGAAGGACTGTATCCAAAAGAAAGAAGGTGAAATAGTCCATTGCCTTCTGATCTGGTCAGCGTCATATGGAGAGTACTGTGTGCTATTCTGGATACCACATTCTAGGCATCCCCTCCCTTCTGTGTAGCTCAGTACACAGCAGTATCGTTAATGAAAAAGACCAGATCAAACATAGGCTAGTCTAGAACTTCAGCTTAGAATGGTCAGTTTGGGGCTGATTTTGAAGGGGAACTGTCTCTTTCTAATCATTAGTAGTTTTCTACCTCCCAAAGGTAGCAAAGACATTTAGAACTAGATTAGAGGGTATTTAGGATTTCTCTTGCCCATGAGGAGACAGGGGCAGAAGAGGAAGTAAGTCTCAAACAACGTCTTTTCTGAGCCCCTGGCCTTCCTCATGTAACCACCTGGCTACATAGCTGGTGGGAGGTATTGATGAATTAACCATGATAATTATGATGATGCTATTCTCACACCTGACACTCCAGTTGACTTCCCCTTACCTTTACCCAGGCTATCTTCATGCCTGGAATGCACTCCCTCCTCACCACTGCCTGTTAGAACCCCTGGTTCCTCTCAAAGCTCTGCTGACGTGCCATCCATCCCTCCTTCTGCAATATATCTTTCTTGATCCCCATTTGGGATCACAACCCACAGTTTAAGAAGCGCTACTTAAGGTATCTTGTATCTATCTTGTATCTATCTATGTATCTTTCTATCTGGTATCTATTGACCTATATATGTTTGTCC